AGGGCGCGAAAAAGCGAGTGCATGCGCGACGAATGGCGGCGGGAACGCGGCCGCGCCCAGTGGCCCGCGGTCTGGCGACCCCGGCAATGCAGAGGGGGCCGCTGCGGTGCTCTCGACGACTCCTCAGGGTCCTGGGACTGGCCGGAGCTACCCGACGTCGTCGGCGCAACAGGGCTGGGGACAGCCCTCGAACCTTCAATCGTGCGCGACTCCTGAGAGCCAGACTGCCCTGTGGGGCCAAACCTCCAGTGGAGCTTCGCCCGTGGGCCCTGGGACAGATGCTGGCGCGTGATCTCCGCAGCGGCGCCGAATGGATGGATCTGTCAGATTTTTCCATGGGTCTCGTACTTATTCCTTAGATCCTCGATGTGGGGACCTCCCAGCAGTCACTTAATGTATCTGTTCGACTCAAGTTCGACTCAAGTTCGACTCAAGTTTGACTCCGGTTCGACTCCAGTTCGACTCAAGGCCTCCTCAGACCAGCGTCTTCATGATTTGGTTTCACTGTTGTGCCCTCCTCGTCCTTCCCATTCCTCCTTCTTCTCCTCCTGCGCCTCCGCCTGAGATGAAGCATGACAGCCAAATTACCGTTTCGGTTTCGGGCGGCGCCTTGGCGGCGATATCGTCGCGTTGCAGGTTGTTGCCGTCCCTACTTTTCCGGGTCCTTCTCCTGCGGCTTGTGCGTGGTGCCAGTTCGTTTGCTGGGGTTGTCGTTTTCCGTTGCGCTGTCAGGTAGGCCGTATTCTTGTTTTGTGGCCTCCACTGGTCAAAAAAAAAAAGAAGGAATGGTACAAGGACGAATGAAGAAGGGGGTGGAGGAGGAAAGGGGGAGGACGACGCATAACAGGAAGGTCTGGAATGTGGAAAGTGGTGGAAAGGAAGGGGGAACGCAGATGAACAAGGCGGGGTGGGGAGGAGGCGGAAGAGGAGGAGGAGGAGGAGGAGGAGGAGGAGGAGGAGGAGGACGACGGTCGGGAGGAACGGCATCATAATGGGTAGGACTACAGGCATGGGCAGGAGGGTTGCGAGGGCCGAGGGTCGGGCGCGGCTCGCTTGCTCTCTTGCCGCCTCTCTGGGGGATAGCGAGGGGAATGCGGACGGGGAATGCAACGACAAGACAGATAATAAATGCATCGGAGGAGGGCGGGGTGGGGGGGCGGAAGGGGGGAGGAGAAGGGGGGGGGAGGAGGAAAAAGGGGGAGGGAAAGGAGGAACGGGAAGAGGAGCTGGACGGCTGAGGAGGAGGAGGAGGAGGAGGAGGAGGGAGGAGGAGGAGGAGGAGGAGGAGGAGGAGGGAGGAGGAGGAGGAGGAGGAGGAGGAGGAGGAGGAGGAGGAGGAGGAGGACGACGAGGGGGAGGAGGAGGAGGAGGAGGAGGAGGAGGAGGAGGAGGAGGAGGAGGAGGAATAGGAAGAGGAGGAAGAGGAGGAAGAGGAGGAGGAGGAGGAGGAGGAGGAGGAGGAAAGGGAGAAGGAGGAGGAGGGGGAGGAGTAAACAAATGGGGAGGAGGATGAGGAGGAGGAGGAGGAGGAGGAGGAGGAGGACGAGGAGGAGGAGGAGGAGGAGGAATACGAGGAGAGGGGAGGGGGGGACGGAACAGGCAGTTTGCGGGCATGCGGTGGCGTAGGTGGTTCGGAAAGATGCGCCACCCGCCTCTGCCCCAACCTGCGAGAAACGGCCTCGCCATCGAGGAATCGAGACGTCGGCTTCCCCTGATCGGCGGATGGCGGTGGAAGTTCGATGGAGGACGCGCAGGCGGAAACCGGTGGAATTGCGGCGGAACCACATGGAAGTAAAGCGTGCCCCCCCCATGAAGCGTCGCCCTGCGAAGCGACTGGAATGCCCCTTCCCGGCGCGGCGATTTTCGCCATGTATTTGCCGGCACCTCCAAGGCACAGGTCCGATCAATATCTTACGAGCTGTTATTGAGCGTGTCCTCCAGATTTCTGATTTGGGGGGCGCGTGTGGTTTGCAAGGCCAACTGCGCACGGACTTCTTCCAACAAGTAGACGCATGTTGGTCTCGATGCGTCTGGGGGCTATATATTCGGCTTCGCGAGAAGCTACGTACGAAATGACAAAGACCGTACACGCCAATCGCTGCAAACGCGGCGGCGGACTTGCCTGCGCCATCGTGGTTGTATTTCGTGTGCGCCAGCTCTGTCCAAGTATCCGGCCGTGCCAACAGTTTCTATGGAATGCCCATCGAAGGGCGAGCACTGGTGTCATGGCGATTAACGGATTAATGCCAAGCCGAGCGTTTTACGTTATGCCAGTTCGGTATTGTGAGCTACAGGTGAAGTTTCTCTCGCACGTCCACGACCACCACCACTCCCACTGCCACGTCCACCAAGCAATACCGTAAGTAGTACCGCAAACATTCCAACCGTGCTACGGCACCGTGAATTCCACTTCTGTCGGCGCCATGCCCGCCACAATTAAACCCGCCTCTTGAATGCCACTGTTAGTGCGGCGACAAATGAACCTGCACCATTCGCTACACCTTCGTCGCCAATGCCATCATCGTCGCAGTCCGTACGTCCACTGAAAGTGCCAGTGGCTTTTGCCATCGCCGTTTCCATTACAGGCGCCGCTGCCAATGCCATTGCATTTACCACTACCACTACACAGTGGAACAACCGTTCACCACTACCACTACCCAGTGCAACAACAACAACTGCCACTACCACTACACAGTGCAATCCGCATGACCTTTTAATCACTTACCATTACCCTTACCACTACCGCTACACTACTACCCTAACCTCTCCCGCTCGCCCCTCCAACCTCCCCCCCTCGACGTTGGAGGAGTTGAATGATATGGAGGGGTTGGAAGGGCTGACGGATCGCCAGAGGCGCTTCGGACTGCGCCGAAGGAGAGAAGGTTCACCGGCTGGCCGTGGCGTGGGATTGTCGCTGCGTGGCGCGAGGCTGTGTGGCGCAAGGTTGCGTGGTGCAAGGATGGAGTGGCGCGAAGGCTGGCGCAGTCAAGCGAATGTAATTGCGCTTCAGGATATATGAGGATGAGGAGGCCTATCCCGCTTAGCCCTTCCCCCACTCCTTCTTCCAAACTCCGTATCGCCATTCGGTTCGACTATACTGTTCGACGGCTCCTGGATAACCGCAACTGCATGCGCCTACCGCGGCCTCCACGTTCGCAAATGCGAACATTCACAATGCCAAATGGCCAAACGCCAACAAACATGGCACCCAGCTTTTTGCCACTGCCATTCGCGTGACCACCACCACCAGTACCAGCGCCAACATTTGCGCGAACCACATTGCAACGCGTCGCACCAGTTACCACGACATGCCCTAATTTCCGAGAGTGCTCACTCACCACCAGTGCCAGCGCTGACCGTGCATTTTCCTATAATTTTGCCTCGTCCAATCATGTTGGCCTTGGTCTCGTTCGTCCGTAGCCAAGGTGGCTCAGGGTGGCCTCGATTGCCTTGCGGGCCATTGCTCAAGGGCAGAAAAAAACGCTTCTACCCTGGTATACGAGGCGCTGTGCTCTGAAACTCCTGTGGGCTGACAGGGTAAACCCTGCGTGATGTGCCGCGCCCTGGCGGCTCTAGGCTTTGGGGCCCCCAGGAGGTTTACAGGCCACGCGCTTGTAATCCAGGGTAGGGTCGTTTTTTTCATCCCTCGAAGTGCTTTCGTAGCATATGAACAAACTTTCGAGGGTTGCTCTCGCATTGCGCACAGGCCTACTCAAGTTCCAAACTGCCGCTGCTGACCTCAATGGCGTGGCCCGGTCCAAGTCCGCGGCCAAGGCGTTGATCGAAGCGTTGTCGGCCGAGTTCGAGGTGCCAGACGGGAGGTCGAAGAAGCGGGCTCGAGATTCCGAGGCCTGGGCAAGCGTGAGGAAGAAAGCCAATCATTGGAAAACCCAAGCGAGGCGCCACAGAAGTGAACTGAAATGTCTTGTCAGGGCCAAGCACGCTTGGAGGATATCGAATCTTTGGAGGGTGAAAATAGCCACGTGTCCCCCGAGCGTGCCATGCCAGACGTTTGAGAAATTCTCCCGTGACTTCCCAATCGCAGAAGTCCAGAACGTGTCAGCAACCTCGATTGCGATAACAAGGGATGCGTTTGCCCAGGTGCTGAAAAAAATCAACCACGATGTCATTGCTGCGCAGTCCAAGGACGCAAGTCGCACCCTGAACCGCGATGGGCAGGAGACGTCTTGTTTCGTCGTGGTGCACGTGCACGATGAGGCAGCCATGAAAGTGAAATCTTTTGATTTCGACGGGGCTTTTCGGCCTGAGCTACAGAACAGAACTGTCGGGCGATACTCCAAGGTGCAAAATCAGGCGGTCTGCGTTGATTTTGGACAGGCGCGGGTGCCAGTGCTCACCGAGCTGATGGGCATGTCCGTCAAGGGCGCGCCCACGATTGCAGAATGTCTAATCCAGGTGTTCGAGAGCATTGCCCGTGCCATCAAGGATGGGTGCCCGCGCGCCACCGTCCGCATCGTCCACGTCGTCATTGGCGATGCCGTTGCCACGAACGAGGCGGCTTGCAAACGGCTGTTTGCTTTCCTCCATGCTGCGGAGCGCCGGCTGGGGATCAGATATTCTTTGGTCGTGGTCAAATGCGCAGCTCATCAGGCAAACTTGGTTGCGCAGTGCGCCATATGTGGCCGATGTTTACAGGACCCGCTGAACTCAGACGCACTTTGCGCTGCCGCTTCCAGGGCGTTTAAGTATGTGATTCCGGAGCGCGCGGAAGAAATGTCCGCGACCCTCCGGGCGTCCATATTGAGCCGAATGCACATGGCAGGGGACGGGACGGATGCCGCGTCGCAGGAGATGCGCCGGCGTTCGCTTCAATTGCAAGAGCTCTACGGCCACGGCGTCATACCACCATCGTTGCTGACGATTTTGAATCGAAGCGTCCTGGCTATGGAACATTGCTCCTCTGAGGAGGCGGATAAGGAAAGCGTGTGTGGTGACCTTTTTCAGATATTGCTTCCCCTGGTGCTCAAGATTCAATCGAAGCCTATAACGACACGTTTTTTCTTATTTGCGCCTGCTGTGTGGGCCCTCCTTTTGATGGATATGTTGGGGCTTGGCAGAGACTTGTTTCCAGAGCAGAAGGGGCGCCTTCGGACCCAGGGCGCGAACCGCATCAAGGCAATGCGGGCTTTTTTCTGCCATCCACAGACCTCCTCGGACCTGCGGAAAGCGTCGCTGTGTTTACAATTGAGCCACCACGCTGTCAGCATGGCAAGCCAGAGCAAGCCGAAGGTGGACGACCCAAGACCACACTTCGTGAGGATTGCGCAAGGAGACATCCAAAAACACACGGGGGAACATCTGAGGCGATTGTTGCCTTTACTGTGCGTGGACGAGAAGCTCGTTGTTCCCGCATGTTTGACGGCTTTGCTTGTGACGCAAGCGCACATTGTCATGCGGTTTGATATGTATGGGCGCTTTCCAGGGAAGTTGTGGATGATGTCTCGGCGGCGCAATCCCATGGGCTACTCCCGAAAGTGCGAGGAATTCTTGCAGGTGCCCGACGACGACTTAGACTTGGGCTACTCTCTGGCGTTGAAGCGGGAGGCCTGGCGCTGCAGGAGCCTCAGCGACGCAGCGATGTGGTTGATGGCAGATGAAGTGCAGGAGGAAATCGACAAAGTGCTCGGTTCCATGTTGGCCAATAGTCTTGACGCGGAACGAAAGATTCATCAGGACAGGGCGCCAGACCATGCGAAGGCGAGGTCGTTGGCGGTAGCATCGCGGAATCAGCTGCTCCACCAGTACCATGTCGAGAGGGAGCGTTTCCTGGCCTGCAGGATGCGGGCGGCCAGACAGGCGTCTTCGTTGAAGAGATGCAATATCTGGTCGCTGGCTCGGCAGAGGTGGCCGCACTTAGTCCCTCGGCCAAGGGGCTGTCGTTGCGGTGATGATCCGCTGCGGGATGGTGTTCTTTCTTCGACTCTTGTGCACGAGGGCGATAAGGATGCGTTGCGGTCACAAGTCGAGGCGCACACAGCCGACCTGGAAGCGGAAGTCGCAGCTCGACAGGGTGAGGCTGCCCGCTTGGCCCGGCTGGCCAACGCGGCGCACGTTCCTGTGGCGCAGCGGGACTGGCTCGAGTGGCTAGACACGAACGACGGTTTTTTTAGGCACTGTCTTCGAGAAGCCCCCGTGGAGAGGCAGCAGTTTAGCCGCAGAGTGACGCCGAGGGAGGGCCTCACGGCCGTTGCCCGCCTGGGACCGAAGATTACGAAGGAACCGCCGCTGTGGGAGCGCAAAATCGCTCACCTACCATCTGGGTATGCGATGCTGCTATGGCAGCGCGGCGCCTCGGAACACAAGGTGTTGTGCTTCTTCTGCTGTCTAAACGGAGAGTGCCGGTACCTGCCATTGCTGAATTCCCGCCCAGGGTGCAATGAGTATTTCCTCCCTGCCCACACCGACTACGTCGCTGGCTTCCTCGGCGCCGCCTGCTTGGCGAAGACGCGCAACGTGCCCCACGACGATGCTGCCGTTCGGGTGTACACGTGCGGGATCGACGCGAAGGTCGCTCCGGATGGCATGGCCATCAAGTGCGTGGCGCCCCTGCTGGAGCACCGCGCCCCCGTGGTTGTCCCGCGCGCGCAGGCAGACGCCGGCGCGGCCGACGCGGGCGACGCAGCAGTGGGCGACGGCTCGGATTGCGAGAGCCTGCTGCTCAAGATGGAGGGAGGGGCAGAGGAGGAGGCCGAGGAACTCGTGCACGACTTAGACGAGCAGGGTGCGGACGACGACGGTGACGACAAAGAGGGCGCCGACGGCGGCTCTCCTTCAGACAGGGCGCTCCCTGGGACTTGGACGCTGTTCAACAACGGCTACTTCACGCTGTCAGAGAACCCGGTGAAGTACGGGGATATGAAGATGAGATGAGCGTTTTGAAGCGGTGGCACGGCGAGGACTTCATGGGGAAACGTGTGCAGAGATCGAAGGCGGCCACGCTCAAACACCACGGCGATGACGCCCTTGCCAGGGACAGGACCGCGCTGGTCCTTCGCGCTTGGATGTTGTACAGGGTCCAGGTTAACAAGTTTGCCGAGTCCAGCCCTGCCAGAGCCACCTTCTTCTTCAACGAGCTTGAGAAACTGAAGGCCGACCTGCGGAGGATGGAGGTGCCTGGTGGCGGAACGGGGAACGAGGAGGCAGACGGCAAGATCCGGAAATGGGCCCCCTTGGCAATGACTTAGCAGCGAGGGCTGCGGTTTGGCCTGTAGGCGGGGCTCTCCGAACGTAGACGCGTGGGCGCCCGGAGGAGAACAAGGGCGTGGGGGAAGGGCCTGGGGGCCTCCTTCTGACGCAAGATCGACGCAGGATCGACACAGAATCGACACAACATCGACGGATCGAGACAATTTCGACTCAAAGTCGACAAATCGACTCAACATCGACACAGCGTCGACTCAAAATCGACGCATCGACACAGGATCGACACAAGATCGACACATAATCGACACAAGATCGACACAGGATCGACACAGGATCGACGCAACCACGGAGTGTCGACGCAAGATCGACACTGGATCGACACAGGATCGACGCAGGATCGACGCAGGATCGACGCAGGACCGACGCAGGATCGACGCAGACTCGGCGCAGGAACGACGCAGGATCGACGCAACAACGGGGTGTCGACGCAAAATCGACACAGGGTCGACACAGGATCGACTTAGGATCGTCACAGTTTCGGGCGGTAGTCTCGAGTATCTAGATGCCCGAACTCGGTATGCTACCAGAACTGGGTTCGAACAAATATTTGTACTCTGCCATGTTTTAAGAGATTTTGATGGCCTTCATGAGGTAACTCGGGCTGCTGATAAGCTACAAAGCTGTATGGTGGAGCTGTCGACAGGAACTAAATCGCCAGAAGCGCTAGTCTCAAGTATCTAGATGCCCGACCTCGGTCTGCCTCCTGAGTTGCAACGCAGGATCGACACAGGATCGACGCAGGATCGTCGCACCTGCAGGCGGGCCTACATCCGACGTCGTCATTTGTTCAAAACGTCGGCCCCTGGAGGTCTGGAGGCCTTCCCTGGGACCGAATTTTCGTACTGAGTCCTTTCTTTTTGACGGTCCCAGGGCCCTGTGAGGGCCCCCAAAGGCCGATAATGACGAACAGCCTCCCGTCATGATGTTTTCACGACGCCATGATGTGTGGCGTGGTGGGTAACACGCTGCCGCGCTTTGCGTCTCAAACCAGAGACTTTCGAAGCCTGAGATTATCGCTCGATCTTGCGCCACCGGCCGCCATGGTGAATGAGGGGCCGCCGACCCCGGAGGCGGTCAATGCAGCGATGGAGGATGTGCCCACAACGGGCCCCCTGGCGAGCAGCTACCGGCGCACCTTGCGGGAGATGAAAAAGAAAGGCGCGGATGTGGACCCCGATGACCCTGTGCATTTCAAGCTCTGCGGGGCCTTGAAGAAGCTGGGGCTCACCAAAATTGACATGCGCACGTTCAGAGAGTGGGCCGACAGAGTGACGCAGTTCGTCAAAGAAGAACGGGAGGTGTGGCTGGTGCAGAAAGAGGCTTTCCCGGATGTGGGGAAGGACAAAAAAGTCAGCTTTTGGCTTCTCGGACCCAGCGAGGCCCAGGGGGTCGACCACGACAGGGTGTGGGTGTTGGATGCTCACGCCCCCACCGGGCCGTGCATGCGCGGGGCCATCAGGCGCACGATCGGTTGGAAAGCTACAAAGGACAGGGGCTCGAAGAAACCGCGCCTCGAGGATGGCGACGCCCATGCTTCGGGGCAGAGCTGCGGCGCCGAAGTCGCCGCAGGGTCCGGCCCAGCGGCGGCCCCGCAGGGCATGGCACCGGCCCCGGCGGCTCTGGCAGCGGCTTCGTCGGGCATGGCGCCGGGGGGGGCGGAGGCGGCGCCCGAGCGGAAGCGGAGGGAGACTCTGGCCGAGCACGTCAGCAGCGAGGACAACGACGACGTGTCCATCAAGACCCGCCGGTTGGACTGCCAGAAGGCTTGCGAGGCCGGCCGCTTCTACGTGCCAGGAGAGACGGACACGGCCCATTTCCGGGCGAAGATGTACGTTGGCTACTTGAAAAAACAGAAGGCCGAGCACATGAAGAGGGATTCGGAGAAATCGTTTGCTGATGAGCTGTCCGTTGAGTCTAGGTATTTCTTTCAATACCTCGCCGATTGGATCTTGAAGGGGAAGACGTACGAGGTGATCGGCCACTTCGCGCCGCTCTTCCGCGAGGCCAAGGAGCTGCACCCCGCCCTGGTCCCGAAGATTGCGCAGGCGATCTGCAGCATCGGCGAAGTGGACCTCCTGGGGCAGTTTTCGGGCTCAGAGAGCGAGCTCGAGAAGTACGGCCTTCCGCCGAAGCACATCTCTGCCCTTGCTGGGAGCCCGTTCCTGGCTGGCTTCCGGAAGGCCCGGTTCGAGGCGCAATTCGCCCTGGCGAAGACAGCCAGCTCGTGGCGCGGCGCGGCGCCGGGCCCGGCTGCGGAGCAGCCCGGCGGCGAGCAGCCAGGTTCTGCACGAGCGAAGTGGGCGCGGAAAGAATTGGTGCAATTCCCAACGGCGGATTTGGTTCATTTTGAACAGGACTCGCTGTCCACGCCGCCGCGGCCTGCGTTCTTTCGAGAAAGAATGCCGCCTGCCCAACAGCGGCCGCCGTTGGTTTGGGACAACATTTGTCGTTGGGCATTGTGCCCATCCTTTCCGCGCCCAGTTCGGGCGCCCGCGCAGGCGGCGAGCAGCCGGGCGGCGAGCAGCCCGACGGCGAGCAGCCCGGCGGCGTGCAGCCCGGCGGCGAGCAGCCAAGCGGCGAGCAGCCAGGCGGCGAGCGGCCCGGCGGCGAGCAGCCAGGCGGCGAGCAGCCAGGCGGCGAGCAACCAGGCTCTAGGCCTCCTAGGTGGGGTCGGACTAGACGGGGACGAAGGAGCGCGCCGCGTCGCCGATGCATCGCCGATGCGGCTCGATGTGGAGCCCGACATGCTTCGCGTCGACGTCGCCGATTCATCGCTGACGTCGACGACGCATCGCTGGCGCATCGCCGACGCATCGCCGATGCATCGCCGATGCGTCGGCGATGCGTCGTCGATGCGCCGCCGCCCCCCGACCCCACCTACTCCGACCCCATCTAGGAGGCCTCTACAGGCGGCGAGCAGCCAGGCGGCGAGAGCGACGGCTCGGCCGCTTTGCAGGCGGGCAGCGCGGACAGCAGGGCCAGGCTGGAGCTGATCATCTCGCTGCTCGGCAACGCGCAGGCGGACGAGCAGCAGAAGAAGGAGCTGGAGTTCGCGAAGGCCATGATGACGAATTCGCCCGGGCCCAGGCTGGCGCATCTCATGAAAATGGCCCTGGACGAGTTCAGTTTGCTCGAGGCGTGGTTCCCCGGGGACCCGGACCAGGTGGTTGGGCTGCTGCTAAAAGGCGTTCGGTACAAGGATTGCGCAATCCAGAACGTGGTCAACGCCATCCAGCACGTGGTCAAGGGCGGCGCGCAGGAATCGTTGGTGAATCCCGTGGTTCGTGGCTTGGGGGCTCTGTGCGTCCGCCTGAACGAGCTCCAAGCGAAGGGGCCCAAGGACATGGTGGAGCCAGGGATGGGGCCCCTGGACAACCACGAGGGCCGGGATCGATCCCAGGAGCAGCGCTCGAAGTTCATGGCAAGCATCTTCGCGGAGGTGGCCTCCCTCCGGCTCGGCGCCGTTGGCTTCACCAGCAAGGCGCGGGATTACACGGGCATCCCGTCGAAGATGTTGCAGGAGGTGCACGCCATGGCGAGCTCCGCGGTGCCGCTCGTCACGCCTGACATGCCGGCCCACGCGCTCATGTGGTGTCACCGCCGGGTGGTCGAGGAGCTGGGGGCCAAGAAGAAGTTGCAGCAGGAGCTGGCCAACGAGACGGCGGGCGAGCCCCAGACCCCCTCGAGTAATGAAAAAATCACGACGGGAGGTTTTTCACAATTTTTGGCCTTTGGGGGCCCTTACCGGCCCTCGGGACCGCCAAAAAACGACTCAGGACGAAATGCCGGTCCCAGGGAATGGGTCGAGACCTCGGGGGGTCGACGTCATGAAAAAATCATGACGTCGGGGGTCTGGGGCCGAAGCAGGGGGCGACCGAGGCGGCGAAGCCAGACGGGGCGCCGGCGACGGGCGGCCCGGGCGTTGATCGGCGGCGCGCTGGGGTGGGGTGGGGGAAGGGGGGAGCTTCTGAGAAGGCGCGGTGCTTCTTTGAAACCTTTCGAGTGCTTAGGGCTCCCCAGAAACACCCTGCCTTCTAAGAAGCCCCCCCCCCCCTTCCCCCCACCCCCCTCCGCGCGCCGCCGAGTTGAGGCGCATGCGCCCCGGTCGGGCGCGACCGGGGGCGGCGCGACAGCTGACAGGGCGGCGGCAGTCGCGCAGCCAGCGGTCGCCCCGAAGAAACACCAGACGGAGCCGGAGGTCATTGCTGTGGGCGACATCGTGATGATCACGAAGTCCCCGAAGGAGCCTCTGTTGTGGCTGAACAAGAAGGCGCGCGTGGTGGAGCTCATCCCGGGCCAGGGCCAGGCGAGCATCCTCATGCTGGAGGGGAAGAAGAAGGACGAGAAGACGACGAGGCTGATTGATAATCTGAAAAAGGTGGCCGCGGAGACCCCGGCAGCGGGAGGCGGCGGGGCCGGCGCTGCCGAGGCGGGCGCGTCCGAACCGTTTGCCGACGCAGCTTCCGAGGCGACGGCGGTGTTCGGCGCGGAGCCGCCTTTCGGAGTGGACGGGGAGTCCTGAGCGAGGATTCTGGGCGGCGCGCCGAGGAGTGCATTGGGGGGGGGGGCGGCGTCTCAGAAGGCAGGGTGCTATTTAAAAACCGGGAAGCCCTGCCTTGTAGGAAGCATTCTGCCTTTTCAGAAGCCCCCCCCCTCCCCCTACCTTGTCGGCGCGCCGCCGAAAATAGAGGATTGCGCATTGGCCCCTGGTGCGCGAGGTAGCGCTGGCGCCTATGGCGCGCCAGCAGTCCCGTGGCCTCGAGAGCGGGCGCCCCGTGGCAGTGTTCGCAGCGGATGTGCGGCGCAAAGGATCTCGGCTTGAGCTGTGCTTGGCGCGGTTGCCCCGCAGAAAAAACACCGAGGCCGGCGGGGTCCGGCGGGCGATGGCGGAATGAATTCAGGCGGCGGCCGGCGGAAGCAAGCTCGTGTTCCGATCAACCGGAAGCCAGCGGAAGTAATTGAAATCATATCCAGCGGCTGTCTTCACGACAGCCGTTTTTGGCAGCCGCGGGGCAGCTGCCCTCCCCGCCGAGAATTTTCTGGGGGTCGCTTCCGTTGGCGGGCGACTTGGCTGTCGGTGGGCATAGTTCGTCCCCCAGAGTTTCGTCCGCGTTCGCAATGCAGCTTTGACGTTGTACCATCCTGGGGGCGTGAGGGAAGGTGGGCACTCCTGGGGTCAACTGGTGCGACGAACCATCCTGGGGGCCATAATTTCGGGCATGCTCGCAGGACAGAGGCCTCGACGAGGCCAAGGGGCGCCCCATTCGGCACCCGCGGTGCGGCGGCGGAGATGAAGTCGATGGGCCGAGGATGATTCCCCAAACAATGCTTGCATTCTAAATAAGTTGGATCGGCCAATCTACACCACGTTGCTTACGCAGCGTAGCTTGCACCACGTAGCTTGCGCCGCGCAGTTTGCGCCGCGTAATTAGCTTGCGCCACGTGGATTGCGCCGTGTAATTCAAACAGCGTAGCTTACACCGCATAACGTTGGTAACTTCTTTTGGGGGGACACATTGGCCGCCAACATGCCGTATCCAATATGCTGAAACCACCGCCGCCCCGGCCAGGGCAATCCTGGGCCGAGCACTTCGGTTCGCTCGTTTTGGACCCGTGTCAAAGGCGATGTAGCACAGGTGGACGTTCTTGTTGGTGATGTCGATGGTCGCGACACACATCCTCTTCTGATTCGCCGACCTGCTGATTCACGCCAACGTTGTTGGAACGTTCATCGTGACGTTCGTCGGGCGGGACGTCATGCACCCCCGCGCCCCTTTCCATGGCTCGGCGTGGGGGCGGAAAGCCTTCCAAAACCAGCTGCTGGCCCCGTGCGTGTGGCCGCGCAGCCACGGCCACGGCCACGGCCCCGGCCGCGGCCACGGCCGCGCAGGCACCTCGCAAATGCCTTTTTCCAGGGCTGGCCGCAGGCACCTCCCCAGTGCCTTTCCTGGGCAGCCCGCAGGCACTGCACAAGTGCCTCGCCCAGGCGCCCGCAGGCGCCTCCAAAGTGCCTTTCCTGGGTCGTTCATTGCGCGGGAGCTCCCATCTTCTCGGTCACGTGCTATTTGCTTTGTTTACATTAATCACGCCGCTGGCGTGCATTGAGTGCAGACACACAAATGCCACGCCTGCAGCCACATGAGGACTTCGAATACCTGCTGCTTCGGAACCCCTTGGCGGGGCAATGGTATCGACATTCATTTCGCGCCAAGATCTGTTCTGAGGACGTGGCAAGCTTGCATCTAAGACGACTACGGCGAACTACCGTCGCCCCCTGCCTTTTAGAAACGATGGTGTGGCCGAGCGTTGCGGCCCGAGTTCGGCCAAGCTATCGGGCCGTGGGTTCCCCTGGCCGTTGTGGAAGCCCTCCGGGGAACACTTGGGAGAGGAAGGGGACCGTCGAAAGGCAGAGCGATAAGAAACCCCCACAATTTTCAACACATGAAATAACTGTTGGTTTTCGTTTTTTTTTTGGGGGGGGGTTATCCTGGAGAGCGTCTGTGGCCGTTCGGGGCCCACCTCGGGCCGTCATGGAGGCGTCTTGAGCTATCTCGGTATCTCTTGGGGGCGCTCTGGGCGTTTTGGAGGCGCCTTGGGTCCTTCAGTGGGGCCATATTGGCAGTCTTGGAGGCCGCCTGGGACTGCCTTGGGGCTCTCTTGGTGTTTTCTTGGGGCCGCTCTTGGGCCGTCCTGGGGCCATTTTGGAGGCCTCTCGGGCGTTTTTGGGGCAATCTGTCTAGATGGCCTCTGGGGCTGTCTTGGGCCGTCGGGGAGTATCGCAAAGTATGCGAACCCCCAAATCGTTGGACAACAGTGCGCCAGGGTGTGGCGTGAGGGGGGCAGCCGTCTAAGAAGGCAGGGGGTATCTACGAATGCAGGTGTTTTTCGAAACTGGCAGGGTTTTAGGAAGGTTTCTGAGAAGCCTCGGGACATTTGTGAGAAGGGCGGTGCCTTTTATGAAGTCTTTGGCTTTTCAAGAAGGCCATCCCCGCCCGCCACCCCCTCGGCGCGCCACCGAATATATAGGAAAGAACGCGACTGGCATCGCAACCTGTCGGGAGCGAAAGGGCGCGGAACGCTCTCGTTCGAAAGTTCGAGGACCTACCCGCGCCGAGCTCGCGGGACGCCGCCGATTCGGGTTCGACGCAGCGTCGACGGACGTTCGACACAGCATCGACGCACGAGGGCGGCGACTGGCTGTGGGAAGGTCCCCAGAACGAACATGTAATATTCCCAGGGGGTGCCAGTGCGTGACACGCCGCTGGATTCGGTTCATCATGAAGCCCGTGCGGCGCGTGCGTAGGGTATTGTGGAGAGATTTCACAGACGGGGGAAGGGTCGTGGAAATGGTGGTCGTCGCAGCCGACGGTTGCGCAGAAAGGCTTCGCCGCATTAGTGGCCGCATTTTCCGATGCCGGGTTTGAAGAAATCTTCCAGGCCAAGGGTCGGGGCAGACGCCGTTCCGCGGGATAGGGGAGAGGCGCGGAACTCAACCCCGTGGGCCGAAACAGGAAGGGGGTGCCGTGTAACCGATGTGGGATCGACGAACATTTTCAGAGCCAGTGCGATTTGGATGGGACAGAGAGGGGAGGCAACGCTGCCTTTTTGACGACCCAAGAGAAAATCGAGGGCGTGAAGCGCGTCGATCTGCCCGAACTCGATCCCCTTACAGCAAGTACTTTCTCGCGTGCGTCGATTTCCACCGAGGGGTGATGGCTCGTGCGTTCGCAGGCGTGCTCTCCGATTTTGGCGGAGACGCCGCTGCGCGCGACGGAGGCGTCTCCGAGGCTGAGGCGGCCCCTGCTACGCCAGTCGAGCTGCAGAAGGCCAGCCTCCCCAATGTGGCGGAGACGCATGAGCAGACGCCTTCGGCGGGGGCAACCATGCCGACGGGGGCGGGCGCGTTGCTTGGACACGCCCCGAGGCAGAGTGGCGGGCCTGCGACTGCGATTGCGCCCGAAGATCTCATGGGCGTTGGGTGGGGCGCGACCAGCTCCAGCGCCTATGTGGCGTATCGCGTCCCGCGGGGCCGTTCGCGTGGCCCCGTGGGGGCGCCGCCCGATCGGGGTGGCCCCCGCGCCCGCGTCTGTCGCGCAGACGTGGGCTACCGGCGCGGCCAAGGTTGGGCTGGGAATCTGATCCGCTGCTGGTGCGCTGTCCAACGCTGCGAGAGAGGTGAAGGGGGCAGGATCGCGCGCTCCTGCGGGGACGCGCGCCCGCCATCGCGAAGACGAGCGGAATGCCGGGCGGGAGCGCGTCGATCTTCGCGGCGACAACCGCGTTCGCGCATGCTTTGGGCGGCGGGCCGCCGCCCGAACTGCCCCGTGGGCCGGGGCGGCGGGGCCGCTGATCGAGGCGTCGCGCCGGAGGTGCCGCGTCGTGGCGACGGTGTGGGCGCCGCGCGGACTGTGCCCTCAGAGGCCCGCCGCATCCCCTTCGGCGATATAGAACACGTCGCCGTCGTCCAGCTTTGGGCCGACCTCCCCGATCGCCGCGAGCTGAGGAGGCGCGACCTCCAGTGTCGCGAAGATGAGGGGGGGAAGGCGGGGGCGGGGGCGGCGGGGGCGTTGGGGGGGCCGAGGAGGGCGCTGCCGATGCCGACCAGAGCGGAAGCGCCGCGGGCGCTCCAGACGCGGCCGGCTCATCGGAGGCTGCGCCGGCGCTGCCTCCAAGCCCGACTGGCTCGACCAAGCGGAAGGTCAGCTGGGGGGGTAGGCGGGCCATCCTGGGGAAGGGGAAGAAGAAGCGGCCTAGAGGTGCTGGGGAACCAGTGGACATATCCCCTACCCTCTTGTCCGAGCACGCAGACAAGACTGACGCATCTGAGTCGGGCTCTGCCAGTCCGCCCCCAGGTCCTCGCAGCGAGGGGGTGCTCGGTCAGTGGGAATCCTGAAACCGGCCGCGAAGGACCGAGCCAAATCCGCTGGTTAGGATATGCCGAAGTCGGAACCGACATCGAAGGCATCTCCCGCGGGAGCGCTCGCGGGGGCCAAAGGTGGCAGCAGCCGCCGCTCTGTCTAGCGGCCCTTCGGCCCCGACAGTTTCAAGATCAGGGCGCGCGCCTTGGGGGCTGGATGCCGCTCCTGCGAGGCGCTAACAGCGAGGGGCCTCGATGTCCCAGCGCTGGGGCTGGAGCGTCATCCTCTGCCGCTGGCAGTGAGCCGAAGCCGCCGCCCCCGAAGGCGCAGCCTCGTCGAATGTAGCGGCCCGGGACAGATGGGCGAGACCGCCTTGAACGCTAGAAAGGGCAAAGGCGGAAACGCTGAGAAGACAGGTGGCGGTCAGGGGCCCGGTCCGTCGGGTGCCGCGCTATGGATGACGGCGATGATGATCTGATCCTGGATGCTGGCGGGCACCGCGTTGCCGTGTGCGATTTCCAGTGCGCGCGCTTTTGTGTTGACGACGCAGAGAGTACCCTGCAAGGCGCGCGCGGCCCCTTCCGTGATGAGTTGCCCACGCGACTCATCTGGTAGGGGGGGTCGCTTATGGCGAACGACGAGCGGTCCCTTCCTGATCGCGAGGGCGTCTCGCTCATGAGCCAATGGTTTTCCGAGATACTTCGCCGCCGACCATTTCGTCGTGCTGGCGGCAAGGGCCGATGCAACGAGCAGTTTCTCCGTGGGTGCCCGACCTTCGACGCCGCTGATGGCTGGGCTTTTCTCGCGGACAGCCTTGCCCATCGGCGCGGTGGGAGGGGCTGCCCCGCGGTCGTGAAGTATATGGGCCCTGGCGAAAGCATGGGCTACATCGCATTGGTGGCGATGGTGATGACGGTGGTGGTGGATCATTCGGGCGGGCAGAGAAATCGCTTGGAGATCTAGGAACTCTACCGCGGAAACACGGCAGTTGGTGCAGAACACGACGATTCAGCACAGCGGACGAAGTATTTTACACATGCGAGTCACCGATGGCCTTTCCAGGCCAGGTCTCGCTGGTCTGGAAAGCCTCTCCCGGCAGATCGCCACTCTGACCCTGTGTGATGTGCATTGTCAACGGCGCAGAGATGAATCGTGTCCCGTCGATCATGGGGCAGGGCGTCTCCTGCCGCGTGGAGGACAATGCGCGGCAAAATCTCACTGGCGAACCAGAGCAGGGGCGCCGAATCATTCATGGGTGCCCTTACTTGCCAGGTGACCACCTCATTCAGAGCGGATTCCGACAGAACGCGGAAATCGCTGTATACATTCCATTACCGCTTCTCTTTGCATGATAAGGTCAAGGCGTGGCGCTCGGCCAATAGTATACTCCTCGCAGATGGGGGCGCGAGAGGCAGCATTTCGCCTGGGCATGCCATTCAGCTTGTTGCCCTGCCGGGTCAGTGCAATAATCAAGTGTGGCGCGCCCCGCCGTGCTTCGACCCAGCCCCCAGCTGCGCCGCGTCTGTGGGAGAGGAAGGGTTGGGTCAGATGTGGCATCGCCCCGAGAACCCCGTCGGCTTGGGATTCGTGGCTCCATGTGGGAACCTCGGGGGGTCAACGGTTTGCATGTTGAATGGCGCCAGTGGAGACGCATCTCAACTGCCCGCGGAACCGCAATCCAATGCGCCCGTTAAGTCGCGGCAGAATCTTCCAGCGCCAGCGCCGCGACCTGGGGGGGCCATGGCGCCGGCGGCGATCGAGGCAGCCGTCGCGCAGCTCGCCTGCCGCGACCCGTGGGCCGCAGCCGCGGGCCCCCAGCGAAGCATCCGCCCTTCGGGGGGCGTGGGTGCACCGAGGGGGCCGGTCAGTGCTATAGGATCGGTCCTGTTCAAGCTCATGGACTTGGGCTTGCCGGCGAGCCAGAACACCACCGGCGCGCTTTCGCTGCGCCGCCTGGCCAGGGGGTGGCGATTCCAGACCTGCAGCAACGGCTGAATCAACTGCGGAATCGCCCTCAGCTAAGGACAGCACTCCACGAGATGACTCCGCCAGCGGCGACGCCGTGTGCCGCGCCTGCAGCATCGCGGCCCGGGGGCGGATCAGAGGCATCTGCCCGCTGCGATCCCCGCCGCGAGCGGCGGCGCTTTATGCGGCAACGGCAGCAACAAGGGATCGAGCAGATGCGGGCCCTCGGGATAGGCGTCGCGGGTCGTCTCGAGAGGTTGCTGGGGAAGTGGGCGCCGCCGTGCCCCTGGGGCCCCGATGCGAGTGCTGGCCCGACGTCGGCTGGCAGATCGCAATGCGTGCTGGTGTTTGGTATGCGCCCGCGCCTGGCAGGATCTCCTCTTGGTGCGCTGGCACCACCTCCCGTGGATGCGCCCCTGCACCCTGAGTTTTATCACGACATGAGTGGGCAGGGGCGTGCTGGATGGGCCGTCCCGCCCAGTCGGTGCGCGAGGGGGGCGACGGAGGAGTTCCGCAGGATTCCTGCCGTGCGCGTGATGGGCCCTGCGTTGCGGCCGCATATGGCCCATCAGCCCCCGCCA